TATGCCATATTTGCTGATTCCAATTCTGATCCTGCTTACCATGCTGCACAGCCCCCAGTACAACCCAGTGGAGAAAAGGAAAAAGAAATAATGGCAAATGGAAACTGACTAAGCAGCTAGCCCCAGCTGGTCTCTGGCCCCTCTCAATCCTGTGGGATAAATGCCCGTCTAGCACAGTCTGCTCCTTCAACGCAACTGAATTCCCAATGGAAGACTTGAATTGGCTGAAGGTCCTTGCTCCTCCCAAAAGAAGGGTCCCAGTAGCAACTGCCTAAGCTATACCTGTTTGTGGCTAACGGGACCTAGCTTCACTGCTGCTGGCAAAGTGTTTTTTCATCCGTGCTAGCAATCGGTACAGCCTTTGATGCACAATATTGAAGATACAAGAGTGCATTTGCATATTCTGCCTCCCTTTCAACCGCTCTCCTTCTCAAAAGACCATGGTAAATATACCCATGTGAGAAACCCCTGATCCCTCCTTCTGTTTAAAAATAAGGCCTGCTGGAGGCTGCACAATCCTACAGTGTTATGACTTAATCAACTGCAAGCAGCTGGGGAGCAAAGAGGATGTGAGGGAGGAAGTGCTATTAGGTATCATTTTTATTTGCAGTAAAAACAGGGGCTGTTTCTGCCCATAGATCCATATCCACAATCCCTTTGACTTGGGTAGTGCTGAGAGCAGAACTTGGCCCGCTAGATTCTTACGGCAGATGCGCAAATACAACTGGCTATTCTTGTCCAAATCATGCAGTTGCTGAAGTTTTACGATTCTGTAACTCTGAACTTGTTGGCCAAAATGCTGGGTCTTTTGTTACGTTTTTGATCTTGCGCCTTGCCCAGTGTTCCAGGCTGCCGCCAAGATCTCAAACACCCTCTTATGTGTCATTGTCAAACCAGCTCAAACTACCCCATGCTCTTTTAGTCTGCTTCTCCCAGCTCCATTTTTGATTATTAAGCTGAATCAGCTGTCAGTACATTTCAAAACCTGCCTCTGAAGTGGGTTTCTGAGACATGCATCTGCTTTTTGTAAAGCACCTCTCTTCCCAAAGGGTCCTAAAATCTTTTCCTTGCTGGTTTGAGCAGGGATATTTTACCACTTCTGATCTGCAGCGTTCCTCCCAGCAGTGCTGGGTTTGTGGGACTAGTCTACTTGGATTCCCAGCCCATTTCAGTTGAAGTGAACATTTCCCACATTCTGGGCTGCCTGGGGAGGGGGAGCTTGCCCTGGGTCCCCTCTTTGCAGGACCCCAAACCTAGTATTTGTATGACCTCGTGCATGCGGCTGCCTCCCCGCTTAGCTTTGGCCTGTCCACTCCTCCATTTCCATGTACAGAGGAGAGAGCAAGCCGAGCCAAACCTGTGTGATGGGGCAGCCTCCTTTTAGTCGCTTGACACACAGATCATCTGCAGCCACATCGGAGGTGAAATGCGCAAATGTGTTGCCATTGGACACTGGTGGCAAGTGGTCTGGTCTTATAGTCAAGTCTCTTTTCAAAGGGCAAGTATCAGCATCTAAAGTGCGGCAATGTCAATTGTTTAGTGGGTCCAGGCCTAGTCTGTCCTTGGAAGTATATTTGAATATTTAGCCAAGTGCTGTGCTTCAAATTACAAGGTCCAGTGGTCTCATGGCTTGGTTGCCTACAGTTAAATATACAACTCCACCTAAGCACTTAGGCTATGTCTACACTTGCACCCTCTTTCGAGAGAGGGGTGCAAATGAAGACATTCAAAATTGCACATGAACCTGGGATTTAAATATCCCACGCTTCATTTGCATATTCGCATTATGGCGCTATTTTGAAATAACAGACGCTGTTAAGACGTGGTTATTTCAAGAGAAAACCCTTTTCTCGAAATAACTAGTAAACGTCATTGTATGAGGAATAAGGGTTATTTCGAGAGAAGGGTTTTCTCTCAAAATAACCGCATCTTAACAGCATCTGTTATTTCGAAATAGCACCATAACGCAAATATGCAAATGAAGCACGGGATATTTAAATCCCGGCTTCATTTACAATTTCGAATGTCTTCATTTGCATCCCTCTCTCGAAAGAGGGTGCAAGTGTAGACATACCCTTACATAAGCAGCCTGACTTCTATTTCAGATGCTGACCACCAGCACCTTCTGTTGCTCTTTATTGATTTGTGGCTGCTCCGCTCTTCTGGAAAATCAGACCTGTCCTAGTCAGATATCCAAAGGTGGATTGTGGAGCCTGACCTTAGACATCCATTGTCAAAACAGCCGCTTCTGTCACAAAGACTTCAGGATGGTCTCTTAGGCCTGGTCTACGTTGCAGCGGAAGGTCAACTTAAGCGATGCAACTTCAGCTGTGTTTAAATATGCAGCTGGAGTCGACATATTTTAAATCATGTTGCTGCACTGTCCACACAGCGGAAGGTCAATGAAAGCAAACACTCCCATCTGCTTCCCTTACTCCTCATGAGGAGCAGGAGTACTGGGGGGACGACAGGGGTGCCTTCTGAGTTAGATTTAGTGGGTCTATACTAGACTCGCTAAATCGAACTTGGAAGATTGACCGCAGCAGCACTGATCTTCCATGTAGAATAGACATGACCTTAGTTACTGGTGGCTTGTTTCATTGTTAAAAATTCCCAACAAATTGCTATTCTGAACATCAGTCTGTAATTGTAAAAGAACAGATTTTACCTTAGGTATAATCTGTCTTTAATTCTGCTGTATGTTTTCGAATTTTGGATTGCCACTTGTGGGTTCTGTTAGTCACAAATTTGAATGTGTGTGGCTTTTTAAACTGGACAGCCATTGTTGTCTGATCAGTCCAAATAAAAAGCTATTGGTGCTTCTCAATGTTGTGATTTGTGTCTGTGTAAACATGAAAAGCTCTAGTTGGTAAAACTATTAATGCGACAATCCAGCGAACTAGTTAAATCTAAGGAAAACAGTCTCTTAAATTATATACAAAACTTGCGCAGCTGATTTTTGGCCTTTCAAAAAACAATCTGAAAAAAGAAACTAAAAACAATAATTTATTTCCTGATTCCTTAGGAAGTATGGTAAACTTAAAAAGGGGGGAGGGACATGTAAAGGTAGTATTCAAAAATTAAATGAATTCAAACGATGAGGACCATACCATTTTTTTTTTTAAAACAAGAGACAGGTTAGAAATCTTATTTACACATGCATAGAAAACTCTTCCTTTTGCCATTTAAATGTAAGTTCATCTAGTGTAAAAAAAAAAATTAGTGTTTTAACCTTTTTGCATACTGCTTTGATCTTTCCTATGCAATATAAAACTTTATCATAAGAATCCTTAGGATACTGGAAAAGTACAAGTTTGCCAAGGGAGTTGGTGTTGGTCTTAAATCCTTATTTCTGAAAAATGAATTGGTCGATGAATTCATTCTGGTCAGCTTCTATTTTACAAAGGGTCTCATATTCCACTCGGTATCTGAAAAAAAAGACACAGAGAATGCTTACAACCTGTATTTAGAGTTTAAATATTGGGACAATTTTAATCCACAAAACCAGTGATACTCTGAGAACGCAACAATGTCTACGCAGTTGACTTGCTGCCTGTACTGACATGTCAGCTTTAGAAAAAGTTTGTAAACTGTGTCCAATGTTGTGCATGGGGGAAAATATCAATAGCATCAGGTGTTTCATATATCAGATTTATTGTGGGAAACCGCTCGGCAGGCAGGCACTGAGCTTGAGGTCCAGTTTCCTTATATAAAGAACTACCACTGAAGAGCCCCGATAGGACCATTGTTTTAGGTCTGGAAGGGACCTTGAGAGGTCATCTAGCCCAGTCCTGATGCTGTGTGTGTAACTCTTTGTTGTTACTATTTATCCTTTCAAAATGTCAAACCAAAACTCCTGGAAAACTATTGGTCTTGGCTTCACAGGCCATCTTAACTTACCTTTCCAACTGCATTTTCTTCTCTGTTATTAAAGCCTGAAGCTGCTGCTGCTGGGCTTCTCTCTGTTTCGCTATAGACTTTAACAAGTTTCGGGCACCAATTGCCTAGGGAACCAAGACTGGGTTTTAGTAATAGTGCTCTCGGTTTTAGCAATAGTGCTATTGTCATTTTTAACAAGTCATTTGTCCAAGGGGTTTGAATAATTAGACTTCAAGGGAAGATAACGGCTTCCTAGAGCTGCCATTCAAACATTCATTACTGTGACTAAGTGCAAAGTCTAAACATATTACTTGACCTCTGGATGACTGGGGCAACGGATATTTAAGCACAGAATTGACCATTAGTTCTGAACCTTTTCCTAGATAAATAAGTTTTGTCCTATATACATGGTTTTTTAAACAACAAATGTTCATGCTTGTTTCTAGACTGACCTATAAAGTAGAGATCCCAGTAACATGTATTTCTACAAGTGTGGCGATTGCAAAAGTAGCTATTGAGATGTGTACAAACAAAACCGCTTTGTTTCTAATCAGCTGCTTCCTTCTGCCACATGTCTTCAGTGATGGTGCTGTCCCCAACATCTCATTAAAACCTACTGTTCCATGCACTCAATTTTGGCCCCATTGAATGAACTGGTAGAAGGACAAGATTGATTAGAAGGAAGAAATCTGCTATTTACATGCAAATCTAATGGATCAGCTGTAGGGTTGGGGGGAGGAGGGGAAGCACCAGGAATGACCTGAAGCTTGCTTGTTTGTGTGCCACAGGCTAGCAGTAGTCCTTTAAGCCCTTGGGGAGGGATAACTATGATGTTAATCCAAAAATAGGTGTTAACAGCTCGACCACTTAAAAGATCCCTAAAACAATCTCTATCATATCAATTGAATAACCACCTAGATTGCTTAAATCACACACAGGTAAGGCAGGGGCTACTGTGTTTTGTAGAGGACAGAATACTTCAGGAACCAATAATTTCATGTACAGTACCTTCATCTTTTCATTTTCAGCTGCTTTTGCTAGTTGATCAACAAGTTCTATTAAGCTACCCACTATTTTCTGAAACTCTGCAATTTCTGAAAGGGGAAAAAATGGTGGTGTTTAAGCCAGAAGTGTTTGTCAAAATGACCAAAATTCTTATACCATAGCACTGGTGTGCTTTTATCCAGGGTTTGTGTGTTATATCCTTAACACTGTTAAATAGCTTGTATTAGGAATGTTTACTATAAGACTTCTATACAAAAGACGGAGAGAAAAATATAATGAAAGGCCATTAAGTACTGATTAGGTTCTTGTCTTCTCAGTCTTCCTTCCCTCTGTTATTTATTTAGATCTATATTTAAAAAGAGATGCCATTGCCTATACAAGAATAGGTGCCCTACCACAGCGGTTCCCAACTGCCAGGCGGGCCACAGACCTCTGGCTGCCGGGCCGCGGCGGCTCTTGGGGGGCTAGTACATTCTGGCTGCTGTGTGGGTGCTGTGAGCCTGAGACACATTCGGGATGAGAGACCCTGCATCTCTAGGCCCTGACTGTTAACAGCCTAGGAAAGAACTCTTGAGCCACCAGAAACATGCACCAACCCCGTCACGTGTGCCGCAGACACTGCCACTCCCGGGGCTGGGCTGTCACCAGACCTGGAAGGGCAGGATCCCTTCCCAGCTACAGACGTGCACTTTGCTCTGTGGCAGGAGGGTTCTGCAGAGCCTGGCATGGCAGCCTTAAAGCAGCTGTGACCCAGGCAGCAGCTCTCAGCTGACAGCTGGGAGGCAGTACATAGTTAGGTGAGGGGGGCAGGGCTAGTGCTGGGGTGCTTCAGAGGTGGGGAGCTCTAAGAGGCTGGGAACTAGTACTGGGAGAAGCTATGGGGATGGGCCTGGCAGTGTGGGACTCTGGGGATTAGGCTAATATCTAATATTGGGGGCTGGCACTGGGGAGACTCTGGAGGGGTTGGGTGCAGTGAAGCTCTGAAAACAGGAGGCTGGTACGGTATTTAGTAGGATTGAGAGCTTGACCAAGGAAAGTAAAAAAAGGGGAAGAACTTACTGTCTACAAAAGCTTTGCATTCTTCTTTGAGTTCAGTTGTTTGCTGTGCAACCTCCGGATCCAAAATTCGTAATTTATTCAGCTCATCAAAGTGAAGATTTGCATCGCCTAGAATGTCCTTGGCCATATCTAGACATCCGTTTTAAAGATAAAAAGCATGCAAATAAGAGCATTAAACTTGCAGCCATTTTCAAATTGCACTCTAAGACCCCAGAGCTCATATCAGAGCAAGACAGAACTTTAAAAATAAAGGTGTTGGCTGTATCTAGACTGGCCGCTTGAATTTCCGCAAAAGCACTGACTTCCTCCTGTAAGAATCAGTGCTTCTTGCGGAAATACTATTCTGCTCCCGTTCAGGCAAAAGTCCCTTTTACGCAAAGCTTTTGCGCAAAAGGGTCAGTGTAGACAGCTCAGATTTGTTTTCCGCAAAAAAGCCCCGATCGCAAAAATGGCGATCGGGGTTTTTTTGAGGAAAAGCGTGTTTAGATTGTCACGGACGCTTTTCCGCAAAAAGTGCTTTTGCGGAAAAGCGTCCGTGCCAATCTAGACGCTCTGTTCCAAAAATGCTTTTAATGGAAAACTTTTCATTTAAAAGCATTTCCGGAAAATCATGCCAATCTAGACGCAGCCATTGAGTCCCATCCCACTGTCCAGGAAGAATGACAGTATGATGGTCCCTGCGTGAGCCCCAGGAGCTGGTTGTGTACAGGGAAAGTTAGGGCAACTGGAACATGACACAATGAGAAACAGCTGCCTGGATACGCCCAAAGCTGCTTCTCTCCCCAGGGTGGGTGTTTCGAGGTCGACAGCTAGCACTTCATCTGGCCTGGTGCCACTTCATGCAAAGAAGCTGACTGGCTTTAGCATACATGCGTGCTGAGCAGATACACTACATGGCAGAGGTTATGATGCTGATCAGAACCTGGTAGCTTTATGTATAGAGGAGCTGTCACAAGGTCACAGAGCAAGGCAGTAATGGACAGCCTGGGTGGGGAATGCTCCCCAAGGCAAATGTCATCTCACTTTGTCTGCTACCACATGCCCACTCCCATCTAGCCTTTCTCCACAGAGGGCAGGCTTTCCACAGAGAGTTGGGAATCTTGAAGAAAACCTTAGAAAACAATTGCTCTTGTCTACACAAAGGCTTTCTCCCCCCCCCCCCTAACCCTGGGCAGCAATGACAACCAAGCTAGTGTGGACCCCGTGGGAGCATGTTTACCATAGTGCTGCCGTGATCCAAGTGCATGGGACGGATTTGGGGCTGCTAGTCCCAGACCAAGTTTGAGAGGGACAGTGTCAGAAAAGCCTTGGGGTTGAGGCAACCATGGTCGGCCCTCTCCCCATCTCTCCCCCCGCGCCCTTAGCTCACCACAGTGTTGTCGCACAACAGGAAAGTGGAGTGGGGCAAGTAAAGCCAAGGGGCTGCTCCCTGACTGCTGCCAAGTCCCTGGAACACTGTGTGCCTCAGTTTACCTGCTGTCCCAGGGACGGAAGCTGCTGCTTCACCTCCCCGGGGCTTTTTTTGCTGCTGGCTGGGAAAAAGACAAGTTATAGGAGACGTATAGACAGAAAAAGGTAAACAGAGGAGAGTCCACCTAAATGACAGAGAAGAAAGTAATTATCAAAGTAAATGTGAAAGGGAAAAAAGAGAAGACAGGAAAGAAAACAGAAAAAAACCACCCTGATTTGTATTTGAAACCACTGTCCACAGCACAAAGAATCATAATTGCACCTTTATTCTGAAAGAGGAGATCAGTCTTGACACCCTATGCATGGCCCTGCATATAAAAATTGACATTGGGTAAGATATAAACTTGGGTTGATGAGACAATCTGAGGTGTACAATGTTGGCTGCAAATCATAACTATTAGTTTGAATATTAAGAGATGCCACAATGGACCCTACATTCCTCATATGTGACCCTATGTTTTTCGCATGCAAAACATTTCTCTTCCAACACTCAGCTGAAAATATGTCCTGCTTATGGGATATATAGAGTTGAATCGCACATTAAGTTAATCAAGATCACTATGTGCTAATTAAATACATTATAAAAACAAATATGCCATTAGTAAAATGCTATAAATAAATATTAATGATGGTCTAATTGAGGATATATTGCTGGTAAAAGCTTTTCATTAAATGCATTTCACATCATCTGCAGAAACTCTTGTAGAAAATTGCCTCTGCTCCTCTCTCAAAATGTATTCTGACCCCAATCCAATGTGCTTAAATAAATTGCAGTGCCCATCAGATCAAAAGAAGTGTAATGACAGTTTTTACAGTAATCTATGCAAGTTGAATATGCAGCATCTAGGGATTTTTTTTGTTAAAGACAGGACTTAAGTGTGACACGGGTGGTCCCTAGGTCTTGGGCTTGCTCTCTGAAAACAGCAAATTACACTCTGTATGTGCTACTATGTTTATCTCTTTATTTAGAATTGCTAAAGTGAAATCTAAAAGGGAAGAGTAAATTAGTGTGAATAAGTGAAATGAACCTTGCAGAATGGCTACTAAATATGTTTTTTATCAATAAGATGTGGATGCAATAAGCAAACATGACTGAGGACACAGGATCAGTTATCATATTAACCATACATTGTTACCTTTGGATCGAATGACTAAATGGAGCAATTTTGCAACCATGATATAAATGGAAAAATATATTTACTTGTGTTTCTGTCTACACTTAGAGATGCCTACAGTTACCATAAAAATGGTAAGGAAATCCCAAGGCAGACTATGATATCTCCAGCTCAAAGATGCCATATTGATTGATGCAGCAGACAGAAATATGGGGAAAGGCAGGGGACAGTTAGCCTTCAACTTCCACCTATGGAAGACACTGCTTAGGGACAGGATACTCAACACAGAGCCTGTGGGCATGACTCGTCTGTTTGCGACACGTTGTGCAGTTTAGGTTTCTTCTGTGGATCTTTAATTCGAGCTTTTTGCCTTTCCAAAGAAAGTTTCTGCAGTCGGGGAAGGAAGGAAGGAGGGAGGTGGGTGGGTAAATATCCCTGGACTTGGGGGCAAGAAGGAAGCCGGGTAAATGCCCCTGGGAGTGGTTGGAGTGAGGAGGATGCCCCCAACACGTATCCCCTGTGAGTATAAACCCTAGTGTGCGTAACTAATCAAAGTGTTTGTCTACCTGATTGTGGTGGGGCTGGTGATATCTGCTACAAACACACCGATATCATTGGTCTGGCCAAAAGGGTAAATTAGTGAGATTAAGTCCTCTCATTTGTGGGCAATGTTAAAAATGTGTGTGTGTGGGGGGGGGGGGGGGGGTTTTTTGTCCCTAGTGGAAGGAGGACAACTTTTTGTAAGCGGGGATCAGGGTGGGATGGGCCGAGATACTTGTGGTGCTGGAGCTGGGACTTCAATAATAACAATGCTGATCTCTCATGTTGCACGTTTTGCCTCCGAGCGCTTCACAAAGTGTTTCAGGAATCACACTAAGAATGCTGAGACTTACGGTAACTTCATGAGAGTTGGGAACCATTCTCCTCTCTTCCCTTTGTCGTATATCATTCATTACTCGTTAGCTGTATCGCGCTGGTGACCAGGAGTCACCTTCATGGACCAGAACCTTAGCGTGCTCGGCTGTAAAGACCTGGAACAAAAAACATGATCCCTTCCCCAAAGAGTTTTACAGTATTTTCATATGGTATGTCTGCTCCTTGCAGAAGGGGCCATGTTTCTCTCTACCTATGAAGCAGGACTAACAATTTGTAAAGTTCCCTACCTCCCAGGGGGACAGTGAGGGTTAACTAATGTCTGTAAATGTAAATGCACAGAGGCACCATAAGCAAATATTTTATCCCTTTGTAAGGCAGCTTCTTGCATGTTCTGAGGATGCCTTATAGATGTC